GACCTTCCCTGGTGCCAGGCTCCTCATCGTGCTGTGGAATTGAGGATTAAAGGAGGGGAAGGGCCCTCCAGGGAGGAGGAAGCCTCCTCTATAACCTTGTAACCTGAGTGGACAACTGAAGGATACTATTCAACGTTAGAAACTTCCTGGAAACCACACCGACCTGCAGGCAGTCAGCTCTCCTGTCACTAGCCAATGGGCTCTTCGGTTCACAAATTCTGGTGTGTAAGGAACATTGCATGTGTTACTTTTGTTGTTGTTGCTAATCCTCACCCGAGGATATTTTTCCATTAATTTTTAGGGAGAGTGGAAGAGAGGGAAAGACAGAGAGAAACATCAATGTGAGAGAAACACTTCAATTGGTTGCCTCCTGCACAAGCCCCGACCAGGGCCCAGGCCAAGAAGGAGCCTGCAACCAAGGTGTGTGCCCTTGACCAGAATCAAACATGGTACCCTTTGGTCCGCAGGCTGACACTCTATCCACTGAGCCAAACCGGCTAGGGGAGGTGTGTGCCCTTGACCAGAATCGAACATGGTACCCTTTGGTCCGCAGGCTGACACTCTATCCACTGAGCCAAACCGGCTAGGGGCATGTGTTACTTTTAAAAGTCTTACTACTCCTGATCATTTTTCAGGAGAACTTTTACATACTTCACATCATTTATTTTCCTTCATTTATTTTTAAGGTTCACACTACAAGTTAGCTACAGGGGATCAACTGACATGGAAAACTTACCATTTTAACCATTTGTGTCCAGTTCAGTGACATTAAGTACATTCTCATTGTTAACGCACCCATCAGCATCATCCCCAGAACTTTTTGCATCTTCCCCAACTGAAACCCCGTCACCACTAAAAACTAACTTCCCATTCCCCTCCTCCAGGCCCTAGCGACCTGCATTCTACTTAAGGTTTAATTCTAAGATTTAAGACAAAGTGAATCTCAGTGAGTTAACTTTTTTGGTACCTATTCTTACGCACTAGCGTTCCTTTGCAGGAATATTTATCATTTTCTATGGGAATTCCAAGAGGGATAATCTGTGCTAATCCCGCTGTGGGTGGGTGGAGAGGGCACCCATCCCAAAGGGGCATCATTGCTCCTTCATTTCCGTGGCCAGACGATGGTGGTGTTCAGGGTGAGTGTCCAAGGGCATGACACAGCGGAGTGTGGAGATCTGAGATGAGGGGGTGAGTCGCCCTGCACTGATGAATGGCAAGTGGCAGGGCACAGTTGTGCCTGCAGCCGGGGCATTCATTCGTTGCCCTAATTTCCATGGGACTGTTCCCCCAAGAGATATCTCCGCCCAGAGATCTCAAGTCCAAAATATACCGACCACAGACGCCTCTTCCATCAGTGATGCTCGGCTGGGTGAGTGCTGGTTGGAGCTTTTTGTGACTCTGTGTGCCCTTCCTCCCTGCAAAGATCCATGAGCAGCCACCGAGGACATCACCCTTGGTTAGAGCCCCTGGTGGGAGAGCCGTGCCCCGCAGCAGGGTGGGACCACGTGGGTGTTCCCAGTCACTTCCAGAATGCATAGGCACGTGGCTTACCCGCGCTCCAGGAGGATTAGCACCCCAGTAAGCCTGCGAGTGGTATCCACAGAACCCACAGATGGACACCCCTCCCGCCAAGGAATTCCCCTGTTGTCGTGGCCAGGACGTGGACTAGGAATGTTTGGCTCCATTCCCAAATGAAGGAATGGGGCTGGAGCAGGGCTGGGTTCCTGCTCCCTGCTGGCATTCCTGACAAGATCTCTGCTGGGTGTGAGCCTTCCGAAACGACGGGACAGTATTGCTCATTCCAAGATGCTAAGTTCAAGACTATTAAACAAAGCATCTGTAGGTTGCCAACATTGTTATTGTCCTACATGCATTTTTCAAAATATTTTATCTCCCCTCATAACATCTTTGGTACTAACTTCTAGGCAAACGACTCCGAAGGGCTACAGAGAGGGCTTCTCACACTCTCACGGGATGTGGAGCGATTGGGGATCTTGTTAAAATGCAGGTTCTGGTTTAGAGGGTGCAGCGCAGGGCCTGAGATTCTGCATTTTAAAGATGTTCCCAGGCAGGACCAGCTACCAATTTACAAGGCTCCGTACAAAAGGAAAATGCAAGGCCCCTTGTTTAAACATGATTAAGAATTCTGAGCTGACACGAGCAGAGCATTGAGATGGTGGGTGATCTTCTAAGTACAGAGTCCTGAGCCCAGGGACCCGTAGGACTGCTCAGGTCACAGGCCCTCAGAGCTGGCATGGCTCCCAGGTGACGCTGGCGCTACCAAGGGGCAAGGCAAGGTGGGACGATAAGTGTGACAGGCCTTGGTGAACCTCAGGGCGCTGCATAAACGTTAGCACCTCTGTCAGGCATCCTGGATGTCCAACGTGGTGAGAGGAACCAGCGTGAATAAGCACACCGGCGTCTTCCTGCTGTCGGTCTCTACATTCAGGCCGGCCCTGCCCTCGCAGAGAGCTGACATTTAACTTAAGGGAGCACAAAATCGTGCCTGAAGGGAAGAGTGCAGACAGAAAGGAACCGGCGGGCGAGGAGACCGTGATGAGGGGCCTCGGTGCTTCTTGGAGGCACTGGGATGTAAAAGCCTTGGAGGGGACGTAGTATCTTCCCACCCTGAGGCTGAGAGGTGAATGTTTGCCCTGGAAGCAGGAGCCAGGCCTAGGACTGAGGAGTGCTGGCAGGATGCTCCACCTTCTTACCTCTGAGCAAGAGATGAATAGGGGATCTCTCTTCGTGGGGGTCCATGGGGGATAGCCCCCCACAGGGCATAGCTTGGAGAAAGGCTCCTGTTAGACTGCTCACCCCATCCTCTGCCTTCACCTCTACGTCACCCCCAAGGGCCCACCCAAGGCATCTCTGTGATGTCCTGCCAGGGCACCTCTGGACCCTGCCCCGGGGCCAATCTGTCCTCCTGCTAGTGACGTGGCTGGGCCACTCTGGGCTGCTATCCTTCCTGCCTGTGGCTCTGACAAACACTCTGAGTCCAACAACCTGGTCACCAGTGACGTGGCCTCGCCTCCAGGCCAGCTGGCTCAGTGACATGTGTCCGTGCCAGGACATCCTCTCTCCACAGGAACTTCCAGAGGTGAACCACCCTGCAGGAACTTGTTCAGTGAGTCTCGAGTGCTCTGGTTTTCAGTTTAGTGTCAAACAGGGAACTTGGGCCCTTCCTCACCCAGAGATGGAAAAAGAACTCCCCGTTTTCTCCTCTTGGCCTTCAAGAGCTAGGATTGTCTACCCCGGCTACACAATAGACTTGCCTAATGTACGGCCCACCAAATCCATATGCTCAAGTCCTCACCTCAGTACTTCAGAATGTGAGCTTACATGGAGTGGGGTCATTGCAGAGGTAAGTAATTAAGATGAGATCATAGTGAATTAGATGGGCGCTAAATCCAATAGGACAGGTGTCTTTATAAAAAGAGGGATATTTGGACTCACGGACACAGACACACAGGGATCGTGCCCCATGACAACAGAGGCAGGGAGAGGAGTGATGTGGCTGCAAGGAATGCCACGACTTGCCAGGAGCCGCAGAAGCTGGAAGAGGCAGGAGGGATTCTCCCTTACAGTTTTCACAGAGAGTGTGGCCCTGCCCACATCTGATTTCAGACTTGTAGGCTCCAGAACTATGAGAGAACAAGTTCTGTTTCAAGCCGGTTGGTGGTACTTTGCTATGGCAGCCCTAGGAAAGTGTGAGTGTGAGAGACAGTTTAATAAGCCTTTGGTTGAGTACTGTGGACTCTTCCCCTCAAATAGTAATTCTTTAATTCTTTTTCTGATTTATTTCTTGAGCATTGTCACCAAGATCTGTCCAGGTAGGAAGGTAGCTGGAGTCAGAGCATTCCTCAACGTTATCTTACCACAGAGCCATAAAATGGCATATTCCCATGAGGGCAGACACCTGATTTCCCAGCCTTGTGCACGGGTGCCATTGGAGAGAGAACCACAGACTCTTGCTTGAGTTCCCCGCTGGGTACAAAAGGCTCAGACTCCTGGATGCTTAGCTCAAGTCCTATGGGCCTGTGCTAAATGACACCTTTGCAACCCAGGAGTGTGCTGTTTTGAACAGTTGCATGTCTATAAGAAATAATAAAGTGATTCATTTTTATGTTGAAAACTTCAATATTCGACAGACAGTCCATCAATATTGCCTTTGGTCCCCAGCTCCTGCCTCTAATGTTTAATTGTAATGTATTGTAGTCGCAACCAGTTGAATCAATTGAGATTGAAAAATGAAATGTTAAAAAAAAAAGTGGAGAAACGTATCCTTTGTGGTCAATATTAATCTTGCAAAGGAGTTTTGTTTCTTCTTTAAGGAAGCCTGCCAAGAGCGAAGAAGACAATGAGGATAGAAAGTGATTCACTGAATCAGCAGCTTCAGAAAGGTCAGAAGAGACAGACTGGCCCCTGTATTTGGCAATGAGAAGAGAGTCAAGAGGTTGGCTGGAGGCCCCTGGAAATGCATCCTGTGTGACCAAGGGGTGGTCAGGAGGATGGGGTTGGGCGCCATGCTGCTTAGGGAGGAGGGGTGTGCCCAGCCCCCTCCTCCCACACCTTGGCTCCCAGCGGGGCGCCTTCCCTTTCCTGGAGTAGCTTCTTATCCCGGACATAACAGTCAAGGTTTCCTTTAAGTCAATAACCTCTCTGAGACCTGAACTGTCCTTGACCTTCTATGCTTCTGCTGGGGTTGTCCCACAGTGACCTCTGTCAGAGCCACGAAGACTGTGTGGAGCCTCTTCAGCAAGAAGCCTGGATCTGTGGGATCACTCACCTGGGACCCCGGCACTCAGTTCCCCACACTGAGAAAGCTGAGTCTGGAAGATGCTGCCAAACATCATCTCCACACACTTTCTCAGTCACATCCTGGAATTATCCCAAGTGACTATAATTCTCTCCTGCCACTGCTCCTTGACCTTCAAAAAACTCTCAGTAAAGGAGCAGGATGTCATTTATGTATCATTTGACACTTGCTTTTGTCACATGCCTGCTGTAGGCCTGGTCCTGTTGGTCATATCAGGGACACTTCATGAAGACAGACAGGTTTCTACTCTGATAAAGCTGAAACCTAATGAGGGAATGGAGAACAGAGAAATAAATCAGATCATTTCAGATACTGACAAAGGACATGAAGAAATTAAACTGCAGGGATGTAGTCCCTGGGACTTTGAAGGGCCACTTTAGCTTGGGTGGTCAAGAATACCCTTCTGAGGAGGTGACGTCTGAGCAGAGACAGAACAGAGAAGGAGGCAGACAAGACATCGCCTAAGAAAGCGCATTAGGTGGGGCAACAGCTGCTGCAATGGGTCTAAATCAGGATGCACGGGGCTTGCTCTGTGGGAAGGAAGCCAGTGTGATGGGACTAGTGAGTCTCAATAGTGGTGCATTTGCCCCCTGGGGGATACTTGGCAATGTCTGGAGACACGTTTGTTGCCCAGGTGTGGGAGGGTGCTAGTGGCAGCTAGTGGGTATGGTTAGAGATGACTCTACACGTCCTACAATGTAGAGAACAGCTGCCCATAAGAAAGAATTCTCTGGACCAAAATGTCACTGGTGCTGAGGTTGAGAAGTCTGGACTAGAGGGTGTGCGTGTGGGTGGGAGTGGAGAGGCTTTGGGTCAGACCAAACTGGGGAGGTACCCTAAGGAGCTCCCACGGGAGACTTCTCCCAGGAGCCTGGCAGGGTCCTGTACATTTTGAAATAACGGTTTTGATGGGAAGCTGATGGGTGGTACCACAGTGGAACCTCGCCAGAAGCCCAACTGAAGGATAATGGTCACCTGGACAAGGAGGGGAGATGGACTAAGTGATGGTTGGGGCATGTGTTCAGGATGAAGGGGACAGAACAGCTGATGAACTGGCTGTGTGGAGTGGTGAGGGGAAGAGGGATCAAGGATGACTCCTGGCATTTTGGCTGGAGCATTTGGAGGGTCCCTTGTGACATTTTGTCATGAGAAAGACTGAGAGATTAGGATTCATTCCGGTAGGAAACCAGAAGTTCTGCTGTGGATGGGATGAGTTTGTGACACATAACAAATACATATAGATACACAGCAGACAGCAGGCTGTCACAGTAGAGATGGTACTTAAAGTAGATGAGAGACACTAAAACCCACCAACAATGTGCCTGCTTATATCAGAGGACTGACACAGCAATACCAAATTCAACACCATTCTGTTTGCATAGAAAAGGCTGGTTACGCTGGGCTGGCGTGGCTCAGTGGTTGAGCGTGGACCTGTGAGCCAGGAGGTCATGGTTTGATTCCCAGTCAGGGCAAATGCCCGGGTTGTAGGCTCGATCCCCATTGTGGGGTGTGCAGGAGGCAGCCAATCAATGGTTCTCTCTCATCATTGTTGTTTCTATCTCTCTCTCTCTCTCTCTCTTCCTTCTTCTCTGAAATCTTAAAGCTGGTTATGCTCTAATGATCCACGATTTCTAGAAGATGCATTTCTAGAAGATTAATTTCAAAGAGGTAAGAGAACAATTGATCTAAGGAGATATGGACAAACAGAGAACGCTGCAGCAGAAGCAGGGAGTACCAGAGCTCAGAGAACTTGAACTTCTTGCTGGTGCTCCAACATGACACAGGTGAAGCAACGGTTCCCCTGGCAGGGAGGCTGTTACCCCACTTTTCCATGGGCCAAGCATCCCCTAAGGACCACTGCAGAAAGCACCCTCTGTGACATCGTCTTCTCTCCTGACCTGGTGGCTGCCCTTTTCTGTGCATTCGAGACCCTTGAAGTTAAGCCCTTCTCACGAGCTAGTGCCTGACGTCACCAAATCCTCTTGTTGAATCTTATGACTGTGTACTGTGAACCCCTCTTTTCAGACCAAGTGACTAACACACTGGGCGATTAAATTGCCAAGGTCAGCCCGCTGATCAGAGGCAGAGCCAGGATCTGAACTCAGGGCTGTCTGCACCGGAACTCCTGCTCCTATTCTTTTTTCAATGACTTTCTCCTCCACTAGCCTGTGAAGTCCTTGCGGGACAAGATATGCCAGGCTGGTGAACGCCACGTGTCCTGGGTTTGTTTGCAAAGCACCACACATCTGGAACTGAACTAGTCTTGACATGTAAAATCTGACCAGGAACTCACAGGTGCTGGATTTCAGTCTCTAGGAATTCAAAACACATGCCGTCGAAATCTGCTGTCAACTGCTAGCCACTTAAAGGAATATTTTGCAGAGAGGACAAATAAAATCTTCATTTCCTTTCTCAAAGTTGAGATGTTTAACTGTTTAAGAATCAGCCCAAAGTGCTATTAGAATGTTTTCTTTACTGAACTTCTTTTCTTTTTCCAGAAAGAAACAAAACAACAACTTAGGGTACTTTTCCCTGTTGTGGCTGAGGCTTTGAGCTTTGGCCCTGCCACTCTCCCTCAGGTAACATGGCCCACCAGCGACCCTTCACCATTGTTACCGGCTGCTTCCTTTTGTGTGAAATATATATTTCAGAGAGGAAGGAAGAGGGAAAGAGAGTTAGAAACATCAATGATGAGAGAGAATCATTGGTCGTCTGCCTCCTGCACACTTCCCACTGGGGATCGAGCCCACAACCCAGGCATGTGCCCTTGACTGAAATCAAACCCAGGACCCTTCAGTCTGCAGGTTGACGCTCTGTCCACTGAGCCAAACCAGCTAGGGCACCGGCTGCTTCTGCTCTACTTCTGGGAACCAAGGCTACACCCTCCCCCATCGCTTAGCTCCCTACCTCTTGCTCCAACTGTTCATAAATTTTAATCAATGTATTGATTAAATTAATGTTTGCAATTATGTAATCAATGGTAGCAAAGAATTTCACTGCAGTGTTATTTGCAATAGCAAACAGCTAGAAACCATACCAATGGCAACCGTTATTGATCTATTTTTATCACATTATGGTACACTCTCCTGACAGAATATTACCATCTTTTAAAAATGTTTACGAAGAATTTTTAGTAACCAGGAAAGATGCTGAAAACATAATGGGGAAAATGATATTGAATATAGCATAATCCCAATTATGTATTAAAAAGGGTGCTTAGAAAAAAGACTGGAAGGGACTGTTAATGTGTCAATGAGATCATGGGTCATCTTTTTGCTTCATTAATGTTTCTATGTTTTCCAACTTTTGTGTGCGCATTATTTTATAGTCAGAAAAACAATACTGAGTGTATTTTAGAATGTGTCGTGGCTTCCGGAGCAAGAGGAGGCTTTCTTCCAGGTCTAGCACCTTTGTGAAGATGGTCAGTCATGTCTAGCGCTAAGTAAGAATGGTACCAATTAAAAAGCCAACAGGATCGTGGTGCTTACAAAGTTGGTGCATTCTATAATCTAAAAAATAGGTTGGAAGCTTATCATGTGCCAGGCTCAGGGCTAGCCCCTGAGATGCAGTATCACTAAGGCAAGGTCTCTGCTTTGAGGAGCTTACCGAATGAGAGGTGCCCATTTAAAATCTTGAAATGATTCCCTTTACTCCACATCCTCACCAACACTGGTGGTTTGTTGATTTATTGATGATAGCCATTCTGACAGGTGAGAGGTAGTATCTCATTGTGGTTTTAATTTGCATTTCTCTGATGATTAGTGACGTTGAGCATCTTTGCATATGTCTTTTGGCCACCATATGTCCTCTTTGGAGAATTGTCTATTCAGGTCTTTTGTCCTTTTTTTAAAACTGGGTTGTTTGTTTGTTTGGTGTTGAGTTTTATAAGTTCTTTATAAATTTTGGATATTAACCCCTTATCTGATGGATCATTGGCAAATATGTTCTCCCATTCAATGGGTTGTTTTTTCATTTTGTTGATGGTTTCCTTTGCTGTGCAAAAACTCTTTAGTTCAATGTAGTCCCATTTGTTTATTTTTTATTTTGTTTTCCTTGCCTGAGGAAATATGTCAGAAAAAATATTGCTATGAGAAATGCCCGGGATTTTGCTGCCAATGTTTGCTTCTAGGATTTTTATGGTTTCCAGTCTAACATTTAAGACTTTAATCCATTTTGAGTTCATTGTTGTGTGCAGTATAAAAGGTGGTCTAGTTTCATTTTTTTTGCACATGTCTGTCCAATTTTCCCAACACCATTTATTGAATAGACTATCTTTAGTCCATTGTATGTTTTGCTTCCTTTGTCAAATATTAATTTATTATAAAGGCATGGATTTATTTCTGGGCTCTCTATTCTGTTCCATTGATCTATGTGGAATTTAATGAACAAACTGAACTACCAAGCAAAATAGGAACAGATTCATAGACAGAGAGCAGGCAGACAGCTCTGGTGGGGGTTGGGGTGGGGGGATTGAGTAAAAAAGAAAAAAAAGAGAGAGAACTCATGGACATGGACAACAGTGTGTTGATTACAGGGGGGTGGAAGGTGGGTGGAGGTTGTATTAACATTTAATATTATAAGATATGACAAAGCTGTGTTATATAGAATAATTCAATCTTACTCTCATTAGTCCACTGTTAAAAAATAAATGTAAGGTCTACTTGTGGTTAAAAAATAAAAATGTAAAAACCTTAAAAATTTAAAAAAAATCAAAATCTTGAAATGAGAAAATAATGTGTAAACAAGGGTGGGCCCACACCCTTAAAGATGAATACTTCCCTCTTACCACCATTTTAAATCTTTCTCAGGATTAAACAATCAGCCGATTATAGAAGAGTAATAACCTAAGTGGGTCCCAACTTTTTGGCAAAGCTGTCCCCTACCTCGGAAGGTCTGGCTGCAATCCCCCGTTCCCTCCACGGAAGGTCAGGGAATATGCCAGGACTTTCCCCAAATGGCTCGTGCTGGAGCCTTACCTCGGAGTTAGATTTAACTCCTGTAAAGAAAAGCAGCTCCCTATCCACAGATTGCATGGTATTGGACAGGTCTTTTCTCTGCAGCCAGGAGGCCTCCGCAGGGCGCTGTAGTCTGCTTGTGACACCCAGGCTCCTCCCCAAGTACAGACCGACCCCTACACACTTGCGGTCCTGGGAGCCTCCCCGTCCCTGGACCTCACAGGGGCAGTGAGGCCACAATCCTGTCACCAGCGCTAGATCCACAGATGCCAAAACAACAGCCACAAAATCCCAAATTGCATCCATCTAGAATGAAAAGGTCCCAAACTCTCTGAAGTGCTGACTTAATCCCTGCAGCACCCTGTGCTGGTGACACAGGCACTTAGATGCCAACTCACCCTAAACTCAAACTCTGAGTGAGGATTAGTCAGGGGGGTTATCTCCTACCACGGGGCTTGCTGGAAGCATGAGAGCTGGAACCTACCCAGGGTCGCTAATTCCTAGGTCTCAAGGGACCCTCGGGGGCAGGGGGCTGGCATTGACCTGCTCCTGTTCTCAGGGAGGGCTCTGTCCCAGGGTCTCAAACCTCTATCCTCAGTGAAAAACAAAGCTGGGATCTGCAGTGTGTGTGTGTGTGTGTGTGTGTGTGTGTGTGTGGTGCGTGAATTAATGCATTACACACGTGTTCCACATGTGAAGATTTGAAGATTGTCATCCCAGAATGATTAATAAAGGGTGATAAGGGACCTGGAGCCACCCATCTGGGCTCAAATCCCTGCTCTGACACTCCTGGCAGTGACCTTGGGCTGATCATTGGAACCCTCTGAGCCTCAGCTTTTTCTTGTGTGAATCAGGATGATAAGTCTTCAGCTCCATGCTATTGTTAAGATTAAGGGACTCACTGCTAGAGGTGAGCATTCAGGGCCTCGTCTGACACTCACCCAAAGCAGTGCGCATATAAATGCTAACTCTTAGAACTTTCAGAATGCAGACAAAAGTAAAGGGAAGTCTGATGTTCTCCTTCCACACCCTATGGCTCCTGTGGTGTGGCCTATGGGCTGAACACAGGACCCCGGGAGACCACAGTGTTCTCCACTCCTCCCCGGCCAGCAGGGGCCAGCACGGGCCTCCATGTGAGGCTCTGTGTGGTGGCGCCAGCTTTGTCCACTCACCTTCCCTGCAGCAGGTCTTTGTGGAAATTCATTCCATCAGGACACGTCCATTTCATTTGCTGAGAAGAGTCCTCCTGGCAGAGAAAACCCCTGTAGGGTGCCTGTTCCAATTTGTCTTTGGCTCCGTGAAGAATGAGATGAAAGCAGCGAGCTCCCGGAGCCTGGCCACAACAGAGACAACGGCACAGATTCAGTCAAAGCATAAATCAGCTACTTATCTGGACCGCATTTTCCACTTGTTGGATATTTCTGGGGAGGTTCAGAATGAGTCACCCAAGATGTACCTTGTGCTATGCAGATGATTTTGAGTTAAAGGCAATGGAGACCTCATGGGCTCAAAAGAAACCCCCCCCCCCAACCCCCACACAACTACCTAGAAGAACTTGAATTAAGGGTCTTACCTATAATAAAAATCATCAGAGATAACCTTTTTGGACTTAACTCTATGGCAGGGCAAACTTTTATTTACTAAACACCTGCTATCATCGTGTGTAACTGAATTTGGCTATAGTCTCTTGTCAATCAGTCTCCTGCAGATGTGATGATGAGACCAGCCAAAGGCACTTTGAAGGTAGAGGAAAGTCTCTTCCTCCCCCACATTTACTTGATACTCATTGATCATGGAGTCCATGAAATGATGGCCTGTCCTGGGGCCCATACCCAATTTTTAAAAAATATGTATTTTTATTGATATCAGAGAAGAAGAGAGAGAGAAATATCAATGATGAGAAGAAATCATTGATCAGCTGCCTCCTGCACGCCTCACACTGAGGATCAAGACCGCATCCAGGCATATGCCCTGACTGGGAATCGAACTGTGACCTCCTAGTTCATAGGTCAATGCTCAACCACTGAGCCATGCAGGCTGGGCCTCATACACGATTTGAAAGAGGGATACATGAAGTGCCTAATCACAGTCAAAGTCATTCACAGTCATTAGCATATCCTGGAGTACAAGGTGGGCTAGCTTAATAGGACATTTTCCACAGCTCCAAATAACTACATTTATTAAGTTGAGGCATAGGAAATTGTGAATATGCAACCAATTTTTAGTCTACCTAAACAACTGGAAATGACTCAGTCTCCTACCTGTTCCCATGTTGTATGGCGTTCCAACAGCAGGACTCAAACAGCGAGGAAAGGTAATTTGCACACAGAGGGAAGGTCGTCTCTGCAGACATATGACACCATAGTTCTTCATGCTGTCTTTCAGCCACTGCCAATAACTGAATTAAAACAAGTCCTATTAATCACTTCAGGGAGGAAAATGATATTTTGTTGAATATGAGACATTTGAAAACGAATAGCTCTGGTTATTACTCTGTCAGAGAGAACCTCACATCAGTTAGCACATGGCTGGCTTAAATTTCTTGTCATAATCTCGCTGGAAAAACCACTGCAAAATGGAAAGAGGGGAAGGAAATAAATAAATGAATTCACATGTCAAAAGACTCCCTGAGGAAGCCTTGATTTCAGTCCTGTCTTAAAAACCTTTTTCCCTTGTCCAGGTCAGGAAGTGGGGAATGCACACACCTCATAGGATGAGCTGACAATGACTGACACAGGGCATGGCCAATCCGTGGTTAGTCTCTTGGAAGGTGTCAATGATAATCTTACCCAGTAAGAACCACTTCCCACCCCTGCTGACAGTCCTTAGTCTCAGGAGCTTGGGGGAGAGTGACTACCTGTACATTAAACACAGGAGTCCATATGCTGCTCAAAAGTCACCTAGCCAGTCCTACCTCAGGCACAGACAATTCCTCCAACCTCTGTCACAGTCATAAACTCCGAATAAAAAAACCTGGACACCAAGTTTGACAAGTGTGAGAGGACTTACGGAGACAGGGTTTCCAAATATCTGAAATCGGGCTGGATTGGTGTTTGCATACATTGTTGGGTAGATATTTATGGTGCATTTATTGTATGATTACAATCAGCCCCACTTCTCACCCCCCAAATGAATGAACAGGACACAGATGTCATGGTGAGAGCCACGGAGCTGTGTGTTCAGGGGCTAGAGGACTCAGAGGGGAGAGGAAACATGAAAAGCCATTTAGTAAGCACCTGCCTTGCTCCAGCCTGTGCCAGCTGGCCTTGGTCTACATCTGTGGCATCATTTCACACCCTCTTGTCGGGGGGGGGGGGGGGGGGGGGGGTCACTGAGCTCTCACCACACAGACCTCTGTGAGCTGGCCAAGCTTGCAGCGGGAGGATCCTCCTTCCAGCTGTGGACCCGCCCCTGGAACCCCTCCTGGGAGAGAAAAGATACACTTGCATAGCCTTGCACCTCCCCTTTCTCTCAGAAACCCTTTCAGCTGCACCTCCAGGGAGTGCTCTCTGCTCCAGAGCAAGGAGGTCTACCTCAGGCGCTTGCTGCAGGGCGTCTGGCTGATGATGGGGTTCAATAATCGGAAGCCCACTTACCATTCTCCACTGTCAGCTTTAAGTAATAAAGGTGACCTTTTGGCCCCTTAAATATCGCTCTTGATTCCATAACCCTCCTTCTATTTTCTGAAATAATCATGTTCATTTAAAAAATGTTTATTCATTGTCTCTCTCCTCCATTAGGAAGGTTCAGGAAGCAGAACTGACAGGACTTGGTGACAGATGACAGGTTCTGCCAGCGTCAGGCTTGCAGGAGTCCTGGGAGGGAGGTGTCCAGGAGGCAGCGGGGAGTGGTCAACATGGGAGGTGGGAAGCCAGTCTTCATTGGAGGTGGGAAGCCAGTGTTGTCCCTCAGGAAGTCATAGACAGACCAATTTGAAGACCACTGGGTGACAGGAAGAACTTCACACAACACTGATTCTCAATGACCACACGCAGGGCTGGGAGTTAGAGAATTCTGAACTTGGGGTTGGCCCATTGGCCATCTCGGACTGGGTGCAAGTCTACACCCTGAGCCTTCCCCCAGCCCCCTGCATTCTTAGTTATATGTGTCTCCATGGTGGACTGTCATATGTTTTTTTATTCATCTCACTGCACTCCGCCCACCCCAGCACTTCTGCACAGAGTGGATACTCAACTTGTTCATGCAGGTGCTGGGCGGTTTATGAAGGAAGTCAAGGAGCCTCTATTTTTGGATCTCCAGGAGGAAGAAACAAAAAACCACTCAGCAGAGCGACACAGCTTGGATTCCATCTAGAAGCAGGCACTCGGTAACCTCTCGAGGTCATTTCCACCCTCTGATGCTCAGACTAGATTGAGGGGGCAGCAAAGGCAGCGTGCTCCGGTAACACTGGTAGGTTGACCGTTCCCGCCCGTTGCCCTCTTTCCCGACACACACCAGCTCCTCCCTTCGAGTGATGGAGAAAGAATAGGACAAAACCCAATACAATGCAATTCAAGTAATATCCTAGTGTTTGAAGAGTGGGGTCGTCATAGAATGTTGACATAAAAATTATATGCAAATGATATGCAGGCAGCATTGTAATACATACCTAATAAAGTTTCTAGGAAAAAACATCCTAATGGGTTTACCTGTGAGAGATGGTGGTTTCAGTGTCACTGCTCCTGAGGAAAAGGTATGGCTGGTTGTGCTTAGGGAGGCAGGAACGTGACACACATTCCAATGAGTTCTTTTTAACCCACTGACATGTTCTAGGAAAAGGAATATTCAAGCAGTTCTTAAAATGTATTATAGATCATAAAACAAAATATTTCGTGTGCATGATCTATCCCTGGCTTGCAGGGCAATTTCTACTGATTTAAGAACCTCCATATGCTAATTGTGGAACAGTTTTCTTAGACTCAGAAAAGCAAATGACCTCCAAGTGAGCGCAAGAAAAGTCAACATCTGGAGGTGCAACATTTGGAAAATTTACCTTAGTTGCTATTTCAATGCTTTCAATAGATAAAATTAGTAATTAGGGGAAAGTACAAGTCCATTGGACTAAGACCTAAGAAATCATAATGAGTAGAAAGTACTTGAATTTTCAGTTTGAAACGTTTTACTGCCACGTCTTTAGAGAAAGAGAGGTATGATAATGGAGGAGTTATAGTCATAAGCAGATGGGAGAAAATTCTCCAAGTGTTTTGCTGTTCCCCCTTTGAACAAGATAGAACATTGTGTTTCTAGTCTGGAATAAAAGGAAGGCACTAATGAACCGGAGCCCAACAAAAGCAGTGCTTGTTTTGGGCACTTCAATTCAGGGCAGGGAAATGGCATTATTTCCTACTTTATGACATAGCCCAGAAGATGGAAGGCAGTCTCAGGGATCCATTGCCCATCTCCTCCTGTCAAGGGTTCAACCTTAGTTTTCTAGAAGGCAGGGGACAATATGTAGGGTTCTTCCCCATCCCCGTCACCCTCAGGACCTTTCATTTAGTGATCAGGCAATGGGCTTTCCAAATGAAGGCCTTGGTTGCAACTTTGGTATTTTGGTGATGGGGAATAAAAAAACTTTAAAGTCATCTTTCAAATGAATGACAATAGTGAAACAGAACAAAGTTTGCAGAGATCCATTTGCACAAAAGCTATGTTGGGGCTGAATTGAAAAATAAAACTCAATGGCAAGAAATGAGAAAAACCTATTTTCTCTACTATTACTGTATCTCTCTCTCTCTCATAACAATTCAATAGCTATTTCTCTAAGAGTTTTTAATTTAAAAGGTACTTTTGTTGTGTTCCCAGTTATTTTCTTTCTAGCCATCCTTAATGCTTCATTTACAACAATGACAAAAATACTTCCACTTAAGTAAGGCTTTGTTATCCACAGATTACCTCCAAGGCATGACCTGGTTTATCACTGGGGAGGTAGGTAGGGTAGATACCACAACCCCCACACTTCACAAGAATTCTATCTCCTGATAGTTGGGGATAATTCACAATGCCTCCTATGAGTGTCTGCATGGGAGTCACATGACCAAATGGGAAATGTTCACTGGGCAGTGCCAGCACATTACGGATTTTTATGTATTTTTCACCGTGGGGCATGGGGAATTTGGATGAATGTTGGGGATACTGACTCCCAGGTCAATGCTATGACGCCGGTTACACCTCTTTACATGTCTGCATGTCAATTTCCCATGGGAAAACTGCGCATCACAGGAAACAGTGGTCATCCATTGTCCCGCCTAACAAAGCAGACTTCCATAGGTGCAAAAACAATAGTTTAATTAGAATTTTCTGCCTCCTTAATAGTGCTGGATTTGCTTTCATGTGTCTAGGAAAATAAGTAACATAAATGTTTCTTCTGGAAGCCTAGAGGATGAAGAAGGAACAAGCATTAAGGCCATTTCCATCCACAGTCTAACCTCACCAGCAGGTGGTGCTGTGACAAAAGCAATCGAGAGAAACCAGGGGATTGAAGACTTCAGACTATGGACTTCAGACAGGTTGGGAGTCCTGGCTCCCAGACTGATCCTAGTGCCCTCTTCAAAGTTACAATTCTGTGGACACACGTGGTTGATGTGACACTAAACAACTTCTAGGTTCTTCAATTGGGGCTGAGTCTACTAGCAAAGGTGCAAACCTTCTCAGAGCTTCTAAAAGCTTCTGCTCCAACCTCTTCCTTCCCCTCTCTCAGCAGGCAGAGATGCCCTTCTGCCTCATATTCACTCTGGAGATTCCTTGGCTTTGGGGACCTTTAAGTAGTAAGCACTTCACAGTTTACATATATTATCAGATGCCACTGTGATGAGAAGTGAAAAGAAACTCTTTGTCAGAAAATGCCTGGGAGGCTCCCAGGCAAGAGCAAGGAGACTACTATGGCTCTGCCTCTTTGGCCACTTAACAGGCTCCTGTAGTCTCTTCATCCACATGCCTATTTACTCCAAGCTCCAAAGGGCAAAGTTTTGTCCTTTACCTCCACAGTACCTTACATGTAGTTGTGCTTACTGTGACTTAATGATACAATAAACAGAAGCAAGCACCGACTGAACTGGTGGGCTGTGGAAAACACCAGCACAAGCTGTGCCCAGTCTTCCATGTCAGCCCAGAAGGTAGGAAATGAGGGAGGTCTCCACAGGACACCTGATGGTCCCATTTGCTGCTGCCTCAGTTGAGCACAATCAGGGCAGCAAATGCTGACCCCTCTGGAAGGGAGTTGCAGAGAAATCCACAGATGGTCTGGGTCACCTAAGGCAACAATGAACCCGGCCAAAGGGGGTTTCAGAACTGTGGACCTCAGACGCCAGCCCAGGTCTTCACTGGTATGAAACTCAGCGCCTCCCAAGCCTGCTCCTATCCACCTGGAGCAGGGCAAAGACCGAGGAAGGCAAGGTGCAGGTGACGGCCAGCCTACGACGGTTTTGCTGACAGTCTAGAGCAAAGAGCTCAGCCTGGGCGTGAACCGTTTACAGTCTAGTCCATTGGTCACTGTCCCTTACTAGGATGAAATTACCTTCTTTCACGGCCTTAGCAGTTTTCAAAGAGCATGACATGCACGTATCCTGACACGTAATAAAGTATGGACATTACCAAGACATGGCCAGGTCACAGATCTGACCACCAAGCAAAGGGACAGACAGCCCACCACCAAGTCCACAAGTTGAGAAATACTAATTGTCCTGTTACTAAACTATCCAGGTTTCACTTAAGGGCAGACCTGAAGAAGGAAGAGAGGAGACAGTCCTCTGGGAAGCTGGTTCATGTGAGACAGAGAAGACCAACACGTGGTCCACAAGGTGCAGGGTCGGGGGCTACAGTCTGTAAATGGGGCCAGTGGTCAGCTAGGAATACTGGATTTCCCACTGGACTCTACTGCACTCGGGTGATTTGTCCTAGTGCTAGAGAGTGAGCCCACCAGCTTCTGATTTTCACTATTCAAATAAAGTATATTAACCTGTTCTTATGCTTAAGGGCCCCTGAGAGAATTGAAAATGGGTATGGCTTTGTGGGAGGTTTTCCAGGGATCTCCTCTATGCAACCTCGATCTACTTCCTTTATAACGCCTAGCCTTCATAACAACAAGAAATAGAAGGGCTGCAAGATCAACTATTTCTGTTGTTAGTCACAAGGTCCATGTCCCGTTGGGTGTTTTTCCCTTCCAAAAAACAAACAAAACCCCAAAGGCAGAAATATCTGGTAACTCCAAATCCAAGCTATTATGACTGTCTGCAAGACACATCTGGCTGCTGAGACAAAAGCAGATGAGTGCAATACTTGTAAATTTTGCATTTATTATAACAAAAATTATGACATGTTCATCTGTGCATTCGGCTTTAATGTAACTGCTGGTATGTCAATGGTCTAACTGGACTCTACAATCATGCTGACTGTGGCAGCAGAAAGGAACACAATTAGAAAGTGCCTGCAAAGTGAAGAGGCTGGGTAGGCAAGAGAGGACGGGAAAGGCTCAGAGGCCCCTGGGTGCAGGCTCCTTTCCAGTGGCCTAAGAGGCACCTTGTTTGAATGGAAATGCTCTTCGTTGCTCAGCCTCATCATCGAATGAACTAATGTGGATTAGGAGGTGAGTGTGGGCGGGAAGGCTCCTCAGAAGGGGAGGGAGGGAAAAGTCAGTTGTTTAGACTGTGTCCTTATGCCAAAACTACAAAACATCTGAAGCATCACTATACAACACGGAGCTATTTACAATAGAAATTTCTCAATCAACTGTTCTCTCAGAGAAAATTAGTGAATCCCAGTGACTTAAGTCACCTGACAGAGTAAAGCAACTCCTAGGAGTTAGTCTCCATATTCTACAAATGTCTATCATTTTCAAGACAAAAAAAAAAAAAAAGCCTTTCCCCCCAGAATTACAATATTATTACATCATTGAGCACTGGCAACCTGCCCTGCCTTCCAAACGAACAAAACAATAAAAAGCCATTTTAAAAAATATTACATTATCATTAACTGTTTCTCTGTAATATATTAAACCTTTTGTTCTTTGTCTTTACACATCTGATATGTTAGGAAAAGAAGTTAACAAATTTAAATCATATTGGTAAAGCATCACTAGAAGAAAAGTGGTAATTATTTTAAAAATCACCAACAGGAAGAACCTACAGACTAGCTGCAAAGACAGGTTGGGAGAGAGTCTGGGAGAAGGGCGTGGAGTAAACCCCTGGTTTAATGCGAGCCTGGGAGACTCTTGCAACTCCGTCTTTCTTGGTTAGTTTATTAAGCGGCGCCGGCAGGTCATAGTGGTGTGTCGCAGTAGTCCGGCAGCGGGTCGGCCGGGCACTGCCGCGGCGGCTGCAGGGGGAGCTGCGCGGGCGGCTGCTGCTGCTGGTGGTGCTTCATGATCTCCTTGACCTCCTCCTCCAGCTCGGGCGGTATGATGAACTGATCCTCGGGATCTGGCTGGGCCGGGGCCGCAAAGTAGCCTCCAGGCTTGCGGAGAGGCGCTTCCGTGGCCACTTCTATCACGTTGTGGCTCCTTTCCTGGGGAGCCACGGAGCCGTTAGCCCTCCGGCGCCCAATGGTCCCCATGCTGGCGAAGTCCGCCTTCCTGGGCAGCCCAGGCTCGTCCTCGTTGGCGCTGATGACGATGCCCTCGTCGCTGGCCTCGGCCGGCACCTGCAGCAGGTGCTGCTGCTTGTCCCTGTCCTTGGCGCGACCGCAGTGGATGTCCACCTCCACCTCCACCCGGCTGCCGTTGCTGAAGACGCCCTCGATGGGCTCTTCGTCGTCGCTGTCCAGGCCGTTGTCAGAGAAGGCGCTGGAGAAGGTGGCGCTGGACAGCTGGCGCTGGAAGGCGCTGGACAGGCAGGCGGGGTGCAGCAGGCAGCGCTGCTCGCTGGGGTAGCAAGGCCCCGGGCGGGGGCTCGTCCGAGGCTGTGGAGCCCACCTCGCTGCTCATCTCGGAGGTGGACAGCTCACTGCTGATCTCGGAGGCCATGCCGCTGCTGGACGATGGCACGCCCAGCCCGTCCGATGGCCGGTCCTTGATCACCATGCTGACCGAGGGCGGGAAGATGCCCGGGCTGGGCGGTGGGCCGGCTCCGCCCGCGCCCAGGTCGCAGCAGCAGAAGCTGTCCTCGGTGACGCTGAGCTGCACCACCACGGCGCTGAGGCTGTCGCGGCAGCCGTAGCTCTGGGCCAGGGTGCACAGCTTCTTGGCGGCAGCCAGGGCATCGGGCACGTTGCGCACGGCCCCCACGGCCTCCTCGATGGACAGGCTGTCCCATAGCCCCTTGCTGCCCAGGATGAAGAACTCGTCCTGGGGTGTCAGGGCCACGGACTGCACATGGGGCCGCGGCACCACGCTAGGGTGGAGGAAGGTGTAGCCCAGGATGCGCGTGGACTCGGTCACTCCGTTCACCTTGCCGTCCTGGAAGAAGGGTTTCCAAGCAGACATTAACACCGAGCCCACGTGGCAACTTCCCTGGGCCTCCTGCCTGGAGACCCCAGAGAGAGCACTGTGTGTGCCCAAGGGAAGGACTGCTCTCCCTTTGATGAGTGGCCAGTATCCATCTCTCATCAGAAACCAGGGCAGTGGCCTGGGCAGGGCAGAAACAGGAGGGGCAAGAGGGACCACGTTCATACTGGGTTCTAGCAAACCGCGATCTAGCCTGTCACAGCACCTGTCATAGCACCTTGGGACGCTTCTGTAGCCACAGGAAAGGGCTTTCTGAAACAAGCCAGTCCTGAGCAGACACAGAAGGTCTGGTCAAAATAATGCCTCCTGCCTTCCATTCCTCTCCAGCAGTCCAGCAACCACAGGGCCCCAGGAGACACTGCTTTACACTTACAAAGGTAAAAAAATAACTGGGGGGAGAATCTCGGTGTGACTCACTAGGTCAGAATGCCCACGCCGGAGAGAGGCAGATGCTGAGGGAGAAGGGCCAGTTCCCATCACTTCCGAGAACTCACTTTGCTGATGGCAAAGGGAGAAGACAAAGTCCCTCGGCTTCGGATCACTTGGGTTCATGCCATTTAAATCATGAGCCAAAGTTTCAGACCATTTGCTGGTTAAAGACCTTTACTCTGAAACTAGAGGGAGGAAGGGGTGACCCCGGTGCACAGCTTAGTTCTTTATTAACGTTTGAGGGTCTCAGGTCCATAACGTGCCTCTCCATGACCCTATTTTTAACTTTGCCAGGGAAGCTTCATGATGACAAATACAACTTTCAGCAGTGTGTGTGTCTAGGACGAGGTAACAGAGATGGTCCCCTAAAGCTGCTGTTTCTTCCAAAGAATGGCCGTTTCCTTCCCAACCCTACCTCCTTCCTTTGTGTGGGATTTTGTGAGGTGTTTGATTGGTGTTCTAGGGGTGCCTTCTGCGACTCCACACACAATCCCACCACGATACTCTCACGATCAGGCAGAGTTCTTAGAAGGAAAATTACCAAAATGAGGTTTCAAGCACAATTTTCAGCTCCCTCGACTCTATTGATATAATTCTTTGCTCCCTGAAGTGTGGAATTGGCCAGAAATTACCCTTGCTGTTCTGCCCAATCCTTTAGATCTTGCCCCCATCGAGACCAATGGTCTTGTGTCTGTGTGCGCCTGTGTGCACATGTGTGCGTTTGGTGAGTGTGCCTCAGGTAGAGAAGTAACAAAACCAGCAATGCAGACAAAAGTGAGGAGGAAATAGGGTGGTGAAGACCTGGGGGATGGGGGGTGGGTAGGGGCTGGGAGGAGAAGGGTGGGAAAATGGGAGGCATCTGTAATACTATCAACAATAAAAAAATATATGTATATTTTTTAAAAAGTGAGAAGAGGCAGGGAAAATAGGAGAAAAGTTCTGAAGCACAAACTTCGAAGCATTTATGCAGCAGAAATGGTTAATCTTTGCATGGTGTAATGTTGAGTGTTTAATTCAGTTACATCTGTCCCATCTTAGACTGTCTCTGCTGCCCGAGAGAGTGTCTATGATCTACTTTAATTCTCTCTGCTCCCAGACAGGCAGACAGGGAACTAAAACCAACCTACAGACTCATTTCTAGAGTCTCATAGTGGATCCCAAATCTTTTCTATCTTCCTCATGGTTCTTATCAGAGTCTGTCCGGACCCAACAGACTCATCTCTACTGAACTGTCTACCTGGTTAAACAAGGCCTGTGGGTTTTCAACAATACAGACTGGACACCTCCTGTGGCAGATGGGTCACGTCTGTATCCCCCGTCATACGTCAGGCCCACCAGGTGATACTGTTATGATGAGTGGGTGAGTGGAGCTGGGCTGCTAATGCCCATGTGGAAGTTGTGCTGTAACAAATCTTGCTCTAATGCAGACTGACTTATGTCAACTTTTCTCAACAGGGGCACTACTGACATGTTGGGCCAAGCAATTCTTTGTTGCAGTGCTGCCCTGTATACTGTAGGATGTTTAGCAGCATCCCTGCCTCTACATGCCCTAAGCACTCTCTGACTCAGTTGTGACAACAAAAATGTGTCCAGGCATTGCGAAATGTCCCACTGGGGAAAAATGGTCCCTGGCTGAAAAGTACTCACTGCCTTACTCAGATGGAACAGGAGGTATGACCCAAAGTACCAGTGAGTTCATTTCCACAGATACAGTAGCCTACAGGACAGATATACTACTGTTCCCACTTTACAGATGAGGAAACTGAGGCTTTGATGAAGGTTTGAAGGTCACAGCCACCAGCCCCAAAGCGAAGACAGGGATACCAACAGTGTGATCTCAGGGGTGGAGCCCTCACCACAAAGCAAACCAGTATCTCCCATGAGGACCAGATGGGACAGCGCCACGGAGCACCTGGCACAGTCCGACACAGAGGCCAACAATAAACGGTTTATTATTCTATACAGTATAATGTCTTCACACCTATCCTACGAAAGAACTTGCTATGTGACACCAGGGTTTCGGAAATGGCTTCTGCAGACCCCGGCCCTGTCTTCCCACCACCCGAGGAAAGTGGCTCTCTCCTCACCTCCGTGATAATGGCCTTGTGCTGCTTAATTCTCCTCAGCTCTTCTTCGCAGCTCATGACATATGACCTGGACAGAGGCAGCGGCTTCCCGTTCCGACAGAGGACCGTCTGGCACTTGCCCACATTGGCAGAGGTCAAGGTGAAGGATCCTCCTGGGTCCACAGGGTCATGCTTGATGTGACAAAGGACAGCAGCACCTCCAAGTTTCTGGCCAGCAGTTCCAAGTTTCCTGGAATCCAAAAAGAGGGCGTAAAAACCCAACACAGCCTGTCTGTGTCAGTCTTGCTAATTCAACAGGGCAAGGAGGAAACAGAACCTGGGGGCTCGAGTCAGGCTCTCACCAAAGCAGGCGCCGCTCAACTCCTCAGAGGAAAAGAGCCCGTGGAATCGACATACACACCCACACAGAGGGGTCTGCTCACAACTGGGGCAAAGTGTCCCTCTGCACTAAAGCCCCAGAGCTAATATGCAAGTAAAGGGCCCTTGTGTGGCTGTGTCCTTCCGGTCTGCTACCCCCATGTCAGCACACTCCAGAGACAGCGGCCAGTGAACACTGAAAGCCCTCCCACCCCTCTTTAAACCCCCTCTGCTCCCAGGAGGGGAACTCTGCAGGAACCACTTCAATAGGAGCAGATGCAAACACCACACCCACTGACACAAAAACCTCAAAAGCACCTGACCACCCTCTCTCCCTGCAATACAGATGTTTACTTGGAGGAGCTCTGACATATTGGGCCATCCACGTTCTTGCTCTAGATGGTGTAGACTTGCTGGATCAGTAATGCCAATTCTAGAACATTCACAGAAAGTACATTCTAGTAATTAAGCTCCACAGCGCTTTTATTCTTGACCATCAATCCACTGACTTACGCAAAGCATCAAGTCCCAACAAACAAGGGTTGTTTTTTTTTAAAATTAAGTCTTTATTGTTCAGATTATTACAGTTGTTCCTCTTTTTCCCCCCCATAGCTCCCCTCCACCCGGTTCCCTGTCCTTATACCCACATTACCCCCTAACCCCCCTCCCCGCTCATGCCCTCACCCCCCCGTTGTCCGTGTCCATTGGTTAGACCTATATGCTTGCATGTAAGTCCTTTGGTTGCTCTTTCCCCCTTAACCCTGCCCTCCCCTACCTTCCCTCCAAGGCCTGACAGTCCAATCAATGCCTCTCCATCTCTGGATCAGTCCTTGTTCATCAGTTTATGATGTTCATTATATTCCACAAATGAGTGAGATCATGTGGTATTTATCCTTCTCTGACTGGCTTATTTCACTTAGCATAATGCTCTCTAGTTCCATCCATGGTGTGGCAAATGGTAAGAGTTCCTTTTTCTTCTTCCTCTTCTTAAAGAATACCTTTCAGCATTTCATATAATGCTGGTTTGGTGGTGATGAACTCCTTTAGCTTTTTCTTATCTGTGAAGCTCTTTATCTGACCTTCAATTCTGAATGATAGCTTTGCTGGATAAAGTAATCTTGGTTGTAGGTTCTTGCTATTCATCACTTTGAATATTTCTTGCCACTCTCTTCTGGCCTGCATGGTTTCTGTTGAGAAATCAGCTGACAGTCGTATGGGTACTCCCTTATAGGTAACTGACTTTTTTTCTCTTGCTGCTTTTAAGATTCTCTCTTTGTCTTTTGCTCTTGGCATTTTAATTATGATGTGTCTTGGTGTGGTCCTCTTTGGATTCCTTTTGTTTGGGGTTCTCTGCGCTTCCTGGACTTGGAAGTCTATTTCTTTCACCAGGTAGGGGAAGTTTTCTGTCATTATTTCTTCAAATAGGTTTTCAATATCTTGCCCTCTCTCTTCTTCTGGTACCCCTATAATTCTGATGTTGGTACGCTTGAAGTTGTCCCAGAGGCTCCTTACACTATCTTCGTATTTTTGGATTCTTTTTTCATTTTGCTTTTCCGGTTGGGTGTTTTTTGCTTCTTCGTATTTCAAATCTTTGACTTGATTCTTGCGATCCTCTGGTCTGCTGTTGGGAGTCTGTATAATATTCTTTATTTCAGTCCGTGTATGCTTAATTTCTAGTTGGTCCTTTATCACAACATCGAGGGTCTCACTAGATTTCTTAAGGATCTCAATACATTTATCGGCGGTTTCCATAAAATTCTTGAAAAATCTTAGAACCGTGGTTTTGAACTCTATATCCAGTCGTTTGCTGTCCTCCATTTCTGTCATTTGTGACCTGTTTCTTTGTCTTCGCATTTTGTCTGCTTCCCTGTGTTGGTAGAGTGGTTTTGTGTGCTAGGTGTCCTACAGGGCCCAGTGGCTCAGCCTCCCCAGTTACCTGAGGTGGACACTCTTGGTGCACCCCCTTGTGGGCTTTGTGCACAGTCTTGTTGTAGTTATGCCTTGATTGTTTTAGGTGTCACTGGGAGGAATTGACCTCCAGGCCAATTGGCAGTGAGAATCAGCTGTGTCTGCAGTGGGAGAACTTCTGTGCTGAAGACACCCTTCTGGGGCAAGACTTGCTTCAGTGGGGCTTTGGTGCTCACTGAGTCTGCCCCCTGAGTGTGTCCCTTATGGATCTGAGGAGTTGTAATCTGGATGGTCCCACTCTGACCACTGGGTACACTGGCTCTTGGATCTCTAAGGAGGTGCTAATTTAGCCTCTGCCTGAGGCTACCCAGCAGGAGCTATGGAGAGATCTGCAGATTCCTCTTCTTTGTTTGGGGTTTGGAGGTGCCCAGATGAGGCCCAGCTGTGAAGCAATGCAAGCTGCTGTGGGGCCTTGGGCCTTCTTTTGGAAGTTCTGGGTCTCTCTGACCCAGCTGCAGTTTGTTAGGTAATTTTCAAATTGCAAAGGGCCAGGCCTTTCATATGCAAAAGCCTCTGTGCACAGCTTAGGTGGGGCAGGGTCTCAGGGAATCAATACGGCGGAGCAAACAGCTATGGCTGATCCTCAGTCCTACCCTAAGAGGCCCCGAGTCTCAGTGTCCCGTCGCTGCAAGCACCTCTGAGAGAAAGCCGCCCTCGAGTTCCGCCCGCTGCCAGACAGTCCAGTTTCTCCCTGTATGAGTCTGGGTCCCCAGAGACTCACCCGGAACTGGAGTTCAGAGCAGTCGGGAGCTTGAGACTCCCTCCCGATTGAAAAAGACAACTGCGTCCTCAGTTGCCAGCCCTTTCTGCATGTGCCTCTGTACCACTGCACTTTACTTCCACACCTCCTGAGTCTCAGTGTGCTTTTCTCTTTCCTTCTAGTTGTAGAATTTACACTCAGCCAGCCTTCCTGTGGTTCTGGATGATGTCCGTTTTGTCTTTTAGTTTATTTTTGAAGTGGTTGTGCGAGGCAGCAATTTCCGGTGTTTACCTATGCCGCCATCTTGGTTTCTCTCCAATCAAGGGGTCTTGACCTCCTGTTTCGAGCCCCATAGATGGCGGTGCCAACCAGGCCCCACTGATGCTGAGTGTGCAGGAGCACAAGGTGAAGACAAACAGATGCCTGTTTACAGGGGCAGATCCTCAGGTACTACCAACTCCTTCTCATCTAGGTTAGCAAGTGGCAACACTAGCCATGGAAGCCAGGGCTGCCTACAAGCACACTCTAGCATGTTACCAACAAAGAACATACAATTCTCCCAAGAACTGAAAAGGTCACACATCCCATATCCTATTAACAAACAGGGAAAATAAGAGGCCTACGAATGACCCTAAAGATGGGCCAGTGGTTTGGGTCTCAAACCCCAACTCCTGGATATCCACGGCAGATTTGGCACTAGGCCCTGCCAATGCAGCACTACTTTCTTACTTTCAAAGGCACATGATTAATCTGAGCAAGGCCAGAAATAGGGTGGCATCTTTGGGAAGTACAGCTGGTAACCCAAGTTCAAGGTTCTTACATTTTTTAATTCTTATTCAGTGCTGGAGGGTCTGTAACAAGCAGACTCTTGGGGGTGTGCAAATGGTGTGTGTGTGTGGGGGGGGGGGGGGGCGGGGGTCTATGTTATCTATTTGCTTTTTTGCTGGAACAAGCTGGGATGAAAACAGAAAAGTAGATATATGTCCCTGGTAGTTAGAACATTCTCTAGAGTCTTACTGCCCGAGGTTGAATTCTGGCTGCACCCTCTACTAGCTTTTAGAGCAATGTGCTTCACCTCTCTTCCCCTTCAGCCAGTAAAATAAGAACAGTAATACTACCTATCCCACTGGGTACAATTTATGGCACTGAGGTATTTGGAATAATGACTAGTACAAAGAAAGACTCATTAGTATTAGCTATGAGCAGAATTTAACTGTACATGCCCACTGAAAATCTGAGAGACAGAGGTGAGTGTAGCAGCAAAGAGCCTCCCTCGGCTGCCTCTGCAGAGTTCCTCAAGAGGAAACAATTATTCATGACTTAGGGAAACTCTACAGCCTTCTCCAACCCACTATTCCTCAGCAGATACTTTTTCTACCCCTATTACAAAGATGCTTCCTCTGGCAGAGTATCAAGGGAGAGAAATAATAGTCATTGTTCCCATGACCTTTAGAGCACTCTTCACTTCCTGGTCCCAGATAGGCAAGTGTTTGAGTATAATATTAATAGATAGGCAATGTCTTTACAATGTACAAAGCCAGTAAAGAATGAGCAATCCTTTGAATGAAGGAATTCTTATACCATTCAACCCTAAGAGTTACAATTATTCTAAAATTTCTATGGTGACCATAAGCTCCATATGGATTCTGCTACTAACACTGACTTAAACATTTAATAAGGGGGGAAAAACAACATAAGAAGAATGATTTAACTTCCGGTCTAAATTTCGAACATCTCGTTTACAAAGGACTGCACCGTCTCAAACCAGTCATAGTATTTCATAAAGATGAACAACCTGAGACAGGAACAGTCCCTTTCAAAGAGAAGTCCACACATCAAAAGGTCTAAGGAGCCTCTGGAGCTCACGTGACTTGGGGAAAGTGGGAAATGTGTCATAAGCAAGTGTGAAAACCTGGAATCATGGCATGCCTGTGAGGTCATTCTAAGAGAAACTAAATTCCTGTCATTGATGTGGCCTCTTACAAAGTTGTTGAAACATCCGTATGTCTCAGGGGGAGCACAGTCCATTCCTGATGCTTGGGCAAAACCAAATTGCCTGAATGCATCTTTTTAAATATATATTTTTATTGATTTCAAAGAGGAAGGGAGAGGGAGAGAGAGAAATATCAATGATGACAGAGAATCATTGATTGGCTGCCTCTTGCACGTCCCCCACAGGGGATTGAGCCTGCAACCCAGGCATGTGCCCTGACTGGGAATCAAACCATGACCTCCTGGTTTATAGGTCAATGCTAACCACTGAGAAACACTGGCAGGGCACCTGAATGCATCTTGTACTCCCACATTCAACATCAGTGCTTTGAGGTTACTGGACATGTTTTTTCTAACCTGAGGCTAAACACTCAAAGAACAAGAAAACATACAGTAGAGACTTAATTTTACCTTTGCATGACAACGAATGTATTGACCATGTACTCTTCTTCATTTTTTGTTTTCTGCAGCTCTTCCGCCAAAATGTCACTCATAGTACATTGGAGAAGGTAGGGCACCTCCACATTCCGGTCTCCATCAAATACACCATACAGAGCCTCCCGGTTGTCACAGAAGTTATTCACCGACAGGGCTGCCACACACAACCTGCAAGGCAAGAATGCTTTTGTGCTAAGTCCAATCTTTCCTTCTCTATGCCCAACCCGACTCTATAACAAGCAGACTTGTCTATCCCAGTCTCTTTCTTCATGACTCCAGACAGATTAAGAATAGGTCAATGAACCCCAGCTAATTTTTATCAACTAATGTCTGTAAGCAAAGAAGAATGATTGATACATGCTCAAGCTTCACACATGGCTTCCTGGACCCTTATCTCCTGATGAATTATTTTAAATGGTAGTGAAAAGAGAATAAGAGACATGGGAAATAACATGATTACAAATCCGTATGACCATATTCATTCACATAAAGTTATTAAGAGAAATTCCACATCAGGCAAAAATGGAGTAACAACAAAACACTGAAGAAATATGAACATTGGAAAAGTATATAAAAATATATGAATGGTCTCAAATTCTGAGACCTTTACTATGAAACTCAGGCCATCCTGACATCAACCATATGAGCACAGGTAGTATTTTTAGTGCCATTTTACAGGTGAGGAAATTAAGCCAAAAAGAGGTTGAGTAACTGCCCAAGGTCATACAGCAAATAAGCACAGAGCCCGGATGCAAAGACTGTAGCCCGACTCTTATCTCAGCACTGTCCGACTCCTGCCTTCATTTATTCATAAGAGTAAGTCATTCCAAGTTATATGGCAATTAGAGGCAAAGTAAAACTTAATAATATATTAAATCATCTTCTAATTCTGTCTTTCCTCTATAAGCTCTCCTTGCTAAAAATGGGGGGGGGGGCCCAATAAAAACGATGTTTTTAAAAAAGTACAGTAATTTTTCTTTTCTGAAGTTTCCCATTTGTTGTTTAGTTTGAGGAAGAACCTAACTTATCCAATTGAAGCTCCCAGCTTGGGTTTCCTGGAGGATCTGCAGTGACCCAGTAGGGAGAGACAACCACAGTTCTCACCTCCCCTCAAGATAGCAAGCAGCAAGCTCCTTGTTCACATAACCCTCTATTTACAAGTCTAAAACAAAACACTTGAGAAGCTTCCACTGGAAAAACCAAAGGTAAAAAGGTGAAGGGACATAAGTGAGGGCCGGGTGATGTGGAACTTCTGAGGTGCTGGTGACTGTCCAGTTGTTGGTCGAGGTGGTCATTTGCAGGTGGGTTCACTTTAGGATGATTCCTAGAGCTGTACACTTATCACTTTTGTACTTTTCTGTACCTATGCTAGCTACACTTTAACATAAAAATTTTCAAAAAACTAATTGTGGAAGGAGAGATTATGTAAAAAGGAGATTAACTGATCATTGCTTTATTAATATATATGAATGGATAATACACTTTAATATCTAGAGATGTTTAAAAACCAATCTTGGATTTCACATTGGTGTTTGTGAATTCAAAAGCAGTTTCACATACTCGTGTTTGCAAGCAAGACATAAAGTCTTTTAATCTAAAAAGAAAGATCTCTAAGAAGGAACTTCAAATGTTCCACAGAATGTATAATTTCTTCCCCTCTTCCCCAAACACAATGACATACAGTGCAAAGCACACAGAAACAATGCACCAGAGCCCAGGCACCACTGTGGGCACATGGAACAGGGTGCTGAAGTGAGGACCCCTCTCCTTTTGCCAGCACAATGCCAAATCACATTCTTAAAGAGGAAACGACCGTATGTCAGACCCAGAACTTGAGCTGATTCTGTTTTCCATCCCAAAGAAAAGCAGTCAGTAACAACCACAATTCCACCTTTTATTTTCCACAGAAGGTATTCGGCTATACAATGGTTATCAAACCTGGGTACACATTAGGATCACCTGGGAAATTTTCAAACATTCTGATTTAATGGGCTGTTGGTTGGAGACTTTTTTTAAAGTTTGTCATCTGATTGATTCTCATGTGCACCCAGGGTTGACTATTAATGTTAGCTACTATTGGATCATCCTCCACTTCTGTTCTTCCCATACTCTCAATATGCTGTGTCCTTGTACCTCAGCTAATTAAATTGTGACTATTCTAATTTATAGGATTCTTTACTTTTCTAGTACTAGTTATTATATTAGCGCCTCTTAATAAAAAGCAAGCAAACCTGAAGAGCTAGATTATAATTCTCAGGAAAATCAACATTTACATACAAAACAGGGAAGGTTGGTGAGAATAAGGAAGAAAAAGAAATTCAGATGGACACGTCCTGATGGCAAGACAAGAAGTTGACATTATAGAAACAGACATCAAACTCCTGCCAAGCTCATTTCAAAGGTAGAAATAGCTCAACAGAACCACTCACTGGTCAATAACATAAATTATATCAAATGTGGACAATCAAGGGTACTTCTTTAACACGATCCATTTTGCTGGAAAAACAGGCTTCAGAGAAAGAGAAAGGGGCTTTTAAAACGCGCAGGGATGCATTTCAATACTTATGCCTTCTCTGAACACTGGAGTCTCACGTAGATATAATGTGTCAGTTACACTGTATCCCAGCAACATCTCTCACAAAGAGAAAGTATGTGATGCTGAGTAGGGCTTAGCTTAATGTTCAAATGTAAGTCAGGAGATGCTCTCACGTTGGGGAAACATGTTCAGAGAAACCTCACGTGAGGCCAGTGTGTGATGGCACTGGATTTCTTTCTACCCCATCAAAGAAGGAAGGGGAGCAGGAGGGTTTCATTCCTAAGCTTCACCCACTCACTTGTTTTTTACTCCTGAAGCTTCGGTATAGCCATGGCTCCACACAGCTGGGGCTCCAGATGCATCTCCTGCCGAGGGCTGATCAATCTTGAAACAGCGGATATTACTAACAAGAGAAACAGAAGGGACAGGAACCAGTAAAACCAAACATGTGCTTGTTGCTCCCTTTATGGGAGAAATGAAAAACACTTGCTAAGCACTCTGTACTTACCATTTCTTACTGTGTTTAAAGTGTCTGAAATATATTTTTAAATATTTTATTTATTGATTTTTTTTTTTTTTTTTAGATAGAGTGAGAGAGCAAGAGTGAGAGATTGGTTGTTCCTCAAATCGGTATGCATTCATTGGTTGACTCTTGTATGTGGCCTGAGTGGGGATCAAGTCTGCAATCTTGGCGTATCGGAAAGGTGCTCTAGGCAACTGAGCTATCTGGCCAGGGCCTAAAGTGTCTCAAATATTTATCAGCAACAAGAACTAGCTACTATTCATAATTAAAACAAAGGGTTAAATATCCAGAGCATGAAAATTAGTTTTTATCAGCATTTTATGTCAATTATTAGAGAATGTTGCATACACTGCACTAAGTGGCTGCTCCCTCCTGGGAATAAAAAGAATAGCTCTGAACCTTCGTGTGAGAAAAGGAAATTAAACTATCACATTAAACATGAACACCCAGCTTTGAAAAGATGGAAACCCAAGTCACAATTATACTGTGTTTGGATGATGTGAGAGAATTCTGCAACATTCATCCTCAACACCAATTTCTGCTCACATCATGCCTTAAAATATTTCACAAAGATTATTGAGGACTTGCCATACCCTGAAACTTCCAATTCTTTCCTCACTAGCACAGCCATCCGTGCTAAGACTAATATAATAAAACAAGTGGCCCGGTGCACGAAATTCGTACACATTAAAAGGGAATTAGAGGAAATGTTTTAATATTGCTATTTACCCTTTCTTTATAATAAAAGTGTCAGAGATGAAAGAAAATTAGTAAAATGTATATGAAAATCTCCCTCCTGTCAGAGTTTGGGGCACGCCGCGGGACCCAGAGTCAAGTCCCTGCCCACCACCCGCATGCACTTCAAAAATGCAGGAGACCCAGACCCAGCCAGCCCCACCCCCATTGGGTGAGACCCAGTCCCGGCCAACCCCATCTTGTCAAGCCCCTCTGGGCAGGGGGGTGCAGCCTCAAGTCCCCTGGCCAAGCATCAGGTGGGGGATGCAGCCTCAGGTCCCCTGGCCTGGCGCCAGGGTGGGGGGGTGCAGTCTGAGGTTCCCTGTCAAGCCTCGCCATGCGGAGCCCGTGGCCTAAGATCCCCCGTCAAGTTCCACCAGGCGAGGGGCACGGCCTGAGGTCTCTATCAAGCCCCGCTGGGTGGGCTTGTGTGTGGCCTGAGATCCCCCGTCAAACCTTGCTGGGCGAGGGGCGCAGCCTGAGGACCTCCAGCCTGGCGGTGGGGCGGGGGTGCGGCCTGAGGTCCCCTGTCAAGCCCTGCCGGGTGGAGGGCACAGCCTGAGGTCCCCGTCAAGCCCCGCTGGGCATGAGGCATGGCCTAAGATCCCCCATCAAGCTCCGCTGGGCTGGGGGCACAGCCTGAGGTCCCTCGCCCTGCCAGGCGCCTTGCAGCCTCAGGTCCCTGCTGTTTGGTCGTGACGTTATGGCGTCCCAGCTAATTTTCATATTCCTCTATTATTAGTTTAGATTACAAAGTAAATGAGGAGTATTTCAATAAATTAGATGTTAACTACATATATTTAAATGGGAGACAAGCTGTTCCCTCACCTCCACTCTAATAGGCCATAATTGGTTCAATAGGACTCACACAGAAATACTAAAAGGGTAAACTCTCAAGTGGGGTTTATTAATAACCAGCCTACTGAAAGCAGTCAGTGCCCCCAAACAGGAAGTCACACAGATGTGAAGCAGGTTTTTGAAAGGCTGGTTGCCACATGGCAAAATAAATCCTTCCTACTTGTAAATTACGCCCCCCCCTTACTTAAACAGTATGCATAATCTCTTAACTTAAACAGCACCTAAACACTTGACTCCAAAATTTTTAGTTATCTGTTGGCTCTCACTACACCTCTGCTACTTTTTTGAATTCTAGAGGAAAACTGAAGGCTCATTTCTAAAGACATTGTACTTTTTACAGATGGAATACAGAGCCTTCAAAGAAATAATTCCATTTCCTAGCCTGATTATTAAAGAATACATAATCCTTAAACTCCCCCATAATCCTTTCCTGGGGAGCAGTGATTTCTCATTCTCCACCTAGCTGAGCACAGTGTGGCTGAGCAGCTGTCTGAAGTGACCTGAATGTTGACTTTTGTAGATCTTTAAGTGAGCGTGAGACTACAGACTAGGAGCTGGAGTGCAGTCATACAGGAGAGTCACCAGAGGCACACCCTGGCTCATGTAGAACAAACAGGCCAACCCTCTAAAACTGCAAGTAATACATTAGTTATGGAGACTCTCCCAAGTTACTAAAAGGCCACCATCTTCTAGCTGTTAGGGAAGGTAACGTTTTTACGTAAGAGTATTATGATTTCATTGTTATTTACTTAATACTAGTGGCCCGGTGCACGAAATTCGTGCGGGGGGGGGGGGTTCCCCTCAGCCCAGCCTGCACCCTTTCCAATTAGGGACCCCTTGGGGGATGTCCGACTGCCGGTTTAGGGATCGGGCCTAAACCAGCAGTCGGACATCCCTCTTGCAA